AAGGCTTGTGGATCACACCCCTAATAAATGGCACTTTCTCTTGCTCATGCTCAGCCTGGAGTATTCAAAAGGCTTGCTGCACATGGGTGACTCCCAAAGGCGACACAGCTTGGCTGTCCTCAAGAATCTTCCACGCACCACTACGCAAAACACTGACGTACACTGGAACAGGGTGTACTTGGCTCCTGGCAAAAAGCTACAGGACTCCACACGAGAAGCCTGAGGCTCCTGAAACACCCATTTTCCCCTGTATGTGTGGGGTTATTTTACATAGTATATAAAGGGACTTCAAAAAGCTTGTGGAAACCACAGATTTTTTTTTGAAGCCCCCTCAGATGTTGTGCAGTATAATATAGAATTCATCTTGTCTGGACTAAGCTGAAGCAGGTCAGAGCCCTGCACTTGCTTCCCTGCACATCCCCAAAGGTCAGCAGCAGACAGCCCCAGATAAGATAACCACCAGATAAGATAACCAGTGAAACCAGATGCTGTGGGTTCAAAGAAAGCCACAAGGGGTAGACAAGCAATTCTCGGTGTCCAGACCCCATATGCTACTTGCCATAATTGCCATACATTCCTCACCACCCCTTTAAAAACCCAGGCACCCAGCTGCTGAGCACGACTTCTATAACACGTTGGCCTAGGTCACAGAACCTTGTCCGGGAGCTCCCCTAATAAAGCTATTTCTGTTTCTGCTCTCTCTTGTCCTGCCAGTTATGTCTGTCCGTCTCCCTGTACCTCAGTTTCCCTTTACACATATATCTGATGGGATATTCGAATCCAGATTCATGGACAATTAGGTGTCATGTTCAGTTAAAGATGAGGATTTGGCAGGAGGGCCCAGGGGGAGCTTGCATTCTGCCATCATTGGAGGCTGTCGTAGAGTGAAATGTCTCTTTTTCTTTCTTCTTTTTAAAATCATTTTATCGGGCACTCTTACAGCTCTTATAGCATTCCATACATCCATGGTATCGAGCATATTTGTATGTATGTTGCCATCATCATTTTCAAAACAGTTTCGACTTGAGCCCTTGGTATAAGCTCCTCTTTTTTCCCCTCCCTCCCCCATCCTCCCAAAGTGAAATGTCTTAATTTGCCTCTTCTCTCCAGGTCTCTGTCTGAAACTCCCACCAAATGACTGGGTGGAACTATGCTCACAGGGCGTGGATAACACTGATTGAGGGGATTAGGCCATTTTAATTGCCAATCTCTAGGTTTGAAGAAGAACCATCTCAGAAGCGGAGACAGAGTGAAAGCCCTGGACCATAAAGAGAGACGAGCCACTAGGGGAGCACATTCTCGATGGGTCTGGAGTGGAGGAGGCAGAGACCAGAGGCACCTGAGGCTGTGGCACGGAGACCATGAGACAGAGCAAAGGAGTCAGCCGGAGACCAGAGGCCGAGGCCAGAAAGAGACTATGGGACAGAACAAAGGGAAGCACTGACAGTGAGGCAGAGCCGCAGGTGGGCTTCCTGGCCCGCAGAGGCAGAGGCCAAGGGACCACGTGGCTGAGAGGCTAAGGGCTGGAGAGAAACGTGGCTGTTGGCTGAGGTGAGATATTCCTGTGGACCCATGACTGTAGCCTTAACTTTTCTGGTCCTGGTTTCTGGTAGCCTGTTAACTTCCCTAATGAACCCCCTTAAGCACGATTATTGTCTGTAGGTTCTGTGTGGCCACTGCAATGGATTATCAAACCCAACAGAAAAGTGGTGTCGTAAAAGGAAGGGTTGGTGTTAGAACAGGGACGTGGACGTCTGTCTGACCTCTGCCTTATGGCAACTGGGAGGTCAGAAAAGGCCTCTGTGCTGTTTTGCCAGGGGCACATCAATGAGAAGGTTGGAGAAAATGAGACTCTGACATCAGAGGAGCCGAAATTCTTATTAGCAAATGCCTAAATGGCTTTGAGCAAGTGACTAAAATTCTTGCTTCTGTCTTGCCATTTACTTAAGAGGGATTGCTTAAATTGCGGTGGCAGGAGTGCCTGTATCAAATACATAAGGGGAGTCTGCTAGAACTGCCGATTCCTGAGCCTCTCTCGAGCGCTTAATGAGGCAGAAGAGCTGGAAAATGAATTTTTAACAAGTTCCCCAGGTGATTCTTATACACATTAAAGTTTGAGAACCGCTGAAATAAGAGAAGGGACACGGGATACAATAGATCTTTCAGAAATGCTCATTTTCCTTCCAGTAAGGAAAGGCAGTAAGAAGAGATGTAAAAATGGGGGGATAAAAAATGCATGCAACGCCCTCATTTAGAAATTTATTCTATGAAAATAATGAGGCGTAGGCCACAACATTGCTAGAATAATCAAGAATTATAGAGAAGCCCAGGGAACTGGTTTAGCTGGTGGCATGGTCAGCAGTCGAAGCCATCAGCTGCAACTTGGGAGAAAAGAGGCTGTCTACTCCCCGAAAGAGTTACAATCTCCAAAACTCACAGGGCAGTTCTACCCTGTCCCACAGGGTCGCTATGAATTGGAATTGACTCGATGGCAGTGATTTTGACTGATATGATGAAAGATATGCTCTCATTAAAAATGGTGGGATTTTTTTAAATTAAATACTTTTATTGGGAGCTCTTACATCTCTTATCATGATCCATACATTCATCCATTGTGTCAAGCACATTTGTACATCCGTTACCTCATCATTCTAAAAACATTTGCTTTCTACTTGAGCCCTTGATATTAGCCCTCCCTCCCTCATGAACCCTTGATAAGTTATAGATTATTATTTTCTTATCTTATATCATCATCTATCACCCTTCATCCACTTTTCTGTTGTTCGTCCCCCTGGGAGGGGGTTATATGTTGATCCCTGTGATCAACATATGATGTGATCCCCTCTTTCTCCCCCAACCTTCCCCTAATCCTCCTGGTCTCTCTATTTTTTTTAAAAGGTAGCTACACAAGAAAGTTCTCATGATAGCTAAGTGAAGAAACCAGAATATGAAAATGGATATAAAATTATGCTATAAATGTGTGGGTATGTTTTGCATTTTTTTTTTAAATCATCAGGAGGAATTACTGGTGCTCACCTTGTGATCATTTTCTAAAGTGGAATTTTTATGATCAGAAACATGTTTATTTTGGAGATTTTTTTCTGATAAAATGTCGCTATCGTTTTTCTTTTAAAATCTTTTAAAATTTAAAGGTGACATGTTGATAACAACTTTTAGTCATACAGGATTGATGACTCATCCATAGAATCTTTAAGGGAACCCTGTTTTCAAGTGGCCCCAGTAAGCAAAAATCTCAAAGAAAATCCTCAAGTGCTACCATTAACTTTTATTACCAGAGAACCCTAGGACTTCTCCTTAAAATTCCTCTCCCTGGGTTCTAACCCCAAGGAGCTTTGTTGGCACAATGGATGTCGAGTTGGGCTGCAACCTCAAGGTTAGCAGATCAAACCTACCAGCCGCTTGATGGGAGAAAGACACAGCTTTCTACTCCCATAAAGAGTTACAGCCTGGGAAACCCACAGGTGCAGTTCTACCCTGTCTATAGGGTCACTGTGAGTCAGAATCAACTCAGTGACAGCGAGTTTGGGAAGTGGGGGAACATTCCAACCCCAGAGATTTTGATTCTCAAGGTCTGCGGTGGAGCCAGGGTGTGATAAGTAGGTTTATTGTGCTAACCTGGCCTGGAGAACCCTGTCTAACACACGAGGGCACAATATTTTAATCAAGAATTCAGGAAATTCTAGGACAACCAGTCAAGTTTGAGGAGCACAGGTCACTGACACTTTAAAAAAAGAAGCGAACACCCATGACTTGCTGTAGATCGTCCACACAGACTAAAAGAGCTTCAAAGTCATGATTAGTTCACACAGCACTTGCATGCACTGTGGGGGGGGGAAACACACTGATTATTAGCGCAACTTAAAGGGACGATGAACACTTGTTATTGTAAATGGCATAGAAAAATATAACAGCTATGTTTTCAACCCCCAAGTTTACGTAATCAGATGTTTTTAATCTGATCAAAGCAATGGACGTTCTCCAGAAATGCGCATAGAGGGGTACACATAAACGTTTTTCAAATTCTTGGCGTTTGTAGTCCTCCCAAAAGTCAACCCTGCTGTAGAAGATAAAATTCCAGGAAGATAAACTATCATGAAACCAAGCATCATCTCCTCGCCTGTGGAAACATCCCAGAACTCCCCAAACAGGTGCTTAAAACTGCCTTCCACACCCCTTTTTCAAACACACGTCCTCAACCTGGACCCTGGACCCTATAGGTTGCCCTTTCCTGACTCTTCGATACCTCCTTTTCCTTTCTCTTAAAAATAAACAAACGTTCTCCAAGCCGCTACCTACCATCTTCCTGTGCATCACGAAACGACTGGCACACGGCGGGTCTGCCTGTGCCCGGGCCGCCCCCACTCGAGAAGGCTCTGCTCCCGGGCGGCCCTCCCACCCTCCGCGGAGAATTGCTCTCCTAAATCAAAGGGGCCTTTCTTTTCTCTGTCCTGATCTTGCCTTTCCAATATTTTCAAATGGAGAGTTAATAGCCCTTATCCAAAGGCGAGCAGAGCATCCACAGACACTGAGCAAGTGTTCCCAAAGTCCTTGCAAACATCCATGCGTCTAACCCTGGTTTTCAGTGGGGTGTTTTTGTTCGTCGGTTTGCGAGGAGGGTGGGGTGTCGGCTCAGCACACGGTCCCTCACCCGCCTAAAGACTGGAATCTGCTGATCAGTTTCCTGCTTGAGCCCCAACGGAAAGCAGGGTCCTCCGTAGAAGGGGGGTGCAGGCTGGGGGTTCCTATCACGGAGGCCGAGGAAGGGCAGGGCTGGGAGCCCCGCAGAATTGCGGCAGGGACGCCAGGGGCCTCGGAGTCTTTGCCCACCCGGCACCTCCCTCCCTCGCAGGCTCGGCCTCTGCAGGCCCCTCGGCCGGCCCCCCCACTCCGGCAGAGACACCGCCGGGCCCCCACCCGCCGCCCCGCGGTCCCCACGCCCGGCGCCCCAGAGCCGGCGGAGCGCAGGCCCGCGCACTTACCCACGGCCGGGCAGCTCGGAGCCCAGCCCCGCGAAGGGAGGGGGCCAGAAGCGGCCGCGGGGGCGGCTCCGGAGGACGGCTCCGCCTCCCGCCCGCCCCCAGCTCCGCCCTGGCCGCCTGTTTTCCGCTGCGGGCGACTCTGCCGGCACCACCAGCTTCGTGAAGTGCACTACCCAGGATGAAAGGGACCCAGACAGCCAACGCACGGCCATCTCGTTGATTCCAATTTATAAGGCAGAGTAGGTTTCCGTGGCTGTAAGTCTTTACAGGAGCAGAAAGCCTCATTTTTCTCCCTCAGAGAGAGGGAGGGGTTGGAACC